CCTCGGTCAAGATAAACTTGCACCACGCAGCCTGCCCTTCCTCGCTTTTTTGAGTCAGATTCTTGATTGCACGCACAATTTGAAATGTTGAGGTCAAACCCCTTTCATTTCCCCAATATTGTCGACTTGCTTTCAAAACCGGGTTGTCGGCGCATAAAAACGAATAGAACACCTCTTTAGCATAGGTCTGCTGTTTTGTTGCATTACTACATAGCTGCACAGCAATTGCCTCGATGAATGGACGCTGGCGAATTCCGCTTTCTTGCTCGTCGACGGGAGGACGCTGGCCAGTAGAGATTTTTTGAGGAGGCATCTTTTTATAAAGGTTTGATATGAAGGGGACAGGTTCCGCCACCCTCTGTAGTCAGGCAAGCTTCCAACAATTTTTTTCCAAATTTTTTGTGTGCCACAAGAGCGCGTAACCATATTTTTTAATTTTTCGTGTGCCACAAAAGGGCGTAACCACAATAGCGCGTACATAACCCCACAGCGCTCAGCCTTGGATTACAGACAAGGCAAAAACGTGACAAAACCAAAATCCGTTTTATCCGGAAATTTGCAGTTTTGTCCCAAAAAATAATTTCCGGGATTTTTGACTGAAAAATCCGGCACACATGCAATAAAGCTTACCACACATTTTGCAAAACAACTTTCAGAGTAAACGACAAGTGTGTAGTACCAAAATATGTAGAAATGTTACGAGAACAACATACGAGAAACCTGGGACTTTTTGTGGAGAGGTGTTGAAGGGAAGTTGAAGAAAGTACTTAACAGTACTTAATTCTTGGAAGTCCTCCGCCAAAAAACCCGAGTCTGCGATAAGCCCCTCTTCGAGGTCGCGGACGCAGCCGCGGAAGAGGGGCTTTGTTAAGTTGTTAAGCTTAAGGAAAGGTCTGGATTTTGGCACGGAAGGTTTTGAGTTTTAGTAGAGGAAATCTTAGATTTCCTCCTCATCAAAATCCCGATTACCAAACTTTCTAAAAGGTGGATAGGGAGAAGCGCCTGCTTCTTCTCAAGAGATCGCTCTCTTCAGAATTCTCAAAGAAAATTCTGGCGTAAAGTTTCCCTTAGAGCATCCGCAATCGTTTGCGGTAAATTTGGCTTTAGCTAAGCTAAAGTTACAGATCTTTAGCCGGGGTTAAGTTAACTAACCCCAAATTCCACATTCGTTTTCTTTAACTTGAAGTTAACGAGACATAAACTCCAAGTTACAGACTCGGCCCACAGTCGTCAGCTTTAGCTTGGAGCTATGTAGTCAAACTTAACTAAGTCCTATCGCTGGCTCGTACCGGCCGCTCCAGCGAGGGACTTACGCGCAAAGTCGAAATTTTGGTGTGAGATCGGTCGGTACATCACCCAAATTTCTTATATTCTCACTGCTCACAAATCACACTTATCAAACGCCCATGTGCTTATAATGAAAACAAAGCGCACGCTCCTTGTCTCTAACGGCCCGCTCTCACATTTTAATTACCGTGAGTCAGTCTCATCTTAACATCAATAAACCCTTTTGGGCATTCAGCGGGGCCGTACACGACATTCCACCTGACTGCGGCGGCAGAAATCCGCATTTGGCAGCCAAATCCCCATATCTTTGGACTAAACCTTAAAATCCTTTTGGGCAAACTGTTGTTTCCAGCACGAAGCGACTTTCAACAAGGCCATGATTTCGACCTTCAACGTTGCACCACTACATCTCATCTCATACCTCCATGCTGCGAAGGAGCCAATCAGCCACCGGTGCAGCTCTGCTAGCCCAATCAGACGATAAACACCGCAAGAAGAGAATCTCCGCTCACCCAAAAATCCGGCTGGATTTGATCAACCAGAATGACACAGACCTCACTAAAGCCCTTGGTGACATATTCGTCGCGAAATACGGTGTGGAAATAAAAATTTACTCGAGTCTTTTTTGAAGACCTTTATATAGAACTTTTTTTTTATTATTATTTTCTAAGGGGGCACTCTCAAACTCAGCTAAAAGGTGGCAAAGTCGCATTTTTTTGGTTTTTTTTCATTTCATTAATCCAAGCCAGTCCAGAAGGGACAAGGCCCTATCTACAAGAAGGCCTTAGACTAACAAGCAAGACTACACTAGAACAAAAGAAGGCAAGGGGCTGGCTGAAGGTGCTACAACAAAAACGATCGATTGGGGGTCTTACAACTAAAAAGGGCTAGACTGAACCAGGAAAGAAAGGAGTCAGCAGGGTAGGAGCTACAGAAGACAGAAAGAGAAAGGACTTACCTAGATTGGCCAAAATCGAAAATCGATTTCGATTTTTGAAGCCAAGGGTGGAAGAGGGTTGTGAAGGCTGTTGTGAAGCAGGTTAGATAGATGGTAGAGACTACAGAAAAGTAAAAAAGGGAAAGGCTTACCTAATTCGGTCAGAATCGAAATTCGTTTTCGATTTTGAACTGAAGGGGATGGAGAGGGTACCAAGGGGATGGGCGAGGCGTTCGAAGCCACACTTGGGTTTGGAAACGAGTGATTCAGATCGGAAACGTCCGTTCCGATCGGAATTGGCGAATCGAAACAAGGCAAAAGACTAGAACCCAATAGAGAAGAAAACGTAATAGAAAAATAGCAATAGGAGGAAAAGATTCAACTAGAAGTCAGAACAGGTTAGAAGAAAGAGATGAGAAAAACAAAAGGAAGAGCTTACCTAGGTTTGATTAGGGCTGAAGAAGGATTGAGTGTTGGCGTATAAAAGGGAGGAGCTTGATTGACTGTGTGCGAGTTTTTGTATCGTATCATCTCGGATCGTAGTTATCGTATCGAGAGTAAGTTGTAGAGTGATTCTTTCTTTTGATCGTATCGAGTTGGACTCCTAGTAGAAAGGGGCAACCTGAAGACAAAAGAAAAGTCCTTATCGTGTTAGTCCTTTAGTTCATCGCCTCATCAGTGTAGAGTGAGTTAAAAGGGAAGGTCTTTAGGAAAAAGACTTACCTTTTATTGGATTATAAGGGTGTTAGAGACCCTTATCGGTGATTTTTTAAGAACCCTTATAAGTGGGAATTTCAAAAGTTAGATTTTTATTTTATTTTTTTATTTTTTTTGTAGTTTCTGACTAATTAAGTCAGAAACCTTAGTTTAAATAGTTAAGTAGGTTTTTAGCAGTTACACACGTAACTTGCTGGGTTTCAAGGTTGGAAGGGTGTGTAGGGTAGTTTCGTGATCAGTAGAAGTTGAAAAACAAGGTTTTGGGGGAATTTTCAAGGTTTTTATTATTTTTTTACTTGCTGCGGGAAAGTTTTTTGGAGAACTGCATTGGGGAACGTGGTAAAAAAACAGCTTGTTTACATCTGTTTTTGAACCGTAGGACCTTTCCGGGGATTCTTAAAGCTGAACTAAAGCTTGTAGATTGGATAATCAAGGTTGGAAAGTTTATTTTTGGTGAAAGAAAGGTTGGCGAGAAGTGTCTCACTGTATTTGGAGGGCAGCTTAGCGGCGTTTTGGTTACGGCTCTTGGAGGTTTATCCTACTTGAGTTGTTTCTTCCCCTCAAGGCTCTGCCTACGCTCCACAGCGTAGGAGTTCTACAACGGTTATTTGGCTCGCCCAGAACAAATCACTGTCGTCGTGAATCTAATCAGAGGACGTACCACCTTTTTATTAGCCGGTACAGGCTTTGGAAAAAGTCGAGTACCGGAATTGTTCTATCTGGCGCACGACGACACGTATGCACCAATTGTCTTGAGCATCAATCCATTGGACGCACTGGGCGGTGATCAGGTGAGCTAGCAGTTGGGAGTTCGGTCCGCTTAAACATATCACTGACAGCTCGCTCACAGTTGGCCGAGAAGAACGCTGTGGAGTTACACGCAGTCAATCTGACCGGACCCAACTGCACACAGGAAGTGTGTGATGCAATTCTTGAAGGGAAATACACCTTCATCCATGTGGTAATGAGGAATTTCACTTGATTAGCATGATGTGGCAGCCCGAGAGAGATGTACCATCGTGAATTGACCCACATACCACATATTGCGTCCTAGAGCCCCGAGGTGGCATTGACGAGCAACGTGTTTGATCGGATGTGGCATGATCCTCGGTTTCAGAATCGACTGGTGCTAAATGTAGTCAATGAAGCCCATATGGTGTATACCTGGGGGCTGGTCGAGTGTGGAAAAGCTAAAACTCTCGCAAGTCACGTCTGAGTCCAGGACACTGGGGTCTTCCGACCCTCATATGGAAACCTCTTCAGACGTTTTCTGGCTTTGGACAAGGTACCTCAACTCTTGATGTCGGCGACGTGCCCACCGCAGCAAAGCAACACCATTCTGGACAACCTCAAGATTGGCAAGCGCGATGTGGAGTTTGTTTGTGGCGAGCTCACTCGACCGGAATTACGCCTCCTCCGAAGGACCTTCAAGCAACCACTGAAAGCATCCCTCAAAGGACTCTTTGCCCACAGCACACAGGTGCCAACATTGTCGATACCGCCAACTTTGCTTTATTGTGGGACCGAAAACGCCACGCTGGATTTCATGCAGCTCATCAATCAAGGCAGGGGCACCCCAAACGATTCTGCGAATGGTTTCTCGGATTTTGCTCGACGCTATCACGCCACTACTGGCCCCAAAGCCAAAGCTCAGGTGGTTGCGGCTTATGTCGCAGGTGGTCTGGCTGTACTGTGCTGCACCCTTGCTCTTGGGTTAGGGCAGAACTGGAAACGTGTTCGACGTGTGGTAATTGTCGGACGGCAGGAGCCGTGTAATTTTACACAGATGTCAGGTCGCTGTGGTCAAGATGGCAGCCGCGGTTTGGGGATTCTGCTGGTTGAACATACTCAAACCAATGGCAAAAGCTTTGTGCGCAACTTTATCACCCCCACACTCATGACCGACGACAACCGCATGGACGCTCTGGCGATCACAAGCGTGTGCTTACGTGTTGCACTTGCGGTCGACCTCAAGTGAGTCTATGCTTCATTATCCAGCACGTGACACTGTACTGACATTGGTGAACAAAGGCATGGGTACATCCCTCTGGACCCAGCCATGGCTTCTGTAACAGAAGAGACCAATCAACAACTTAAACAAGGGATGCGGATCTGTGATTGTTCGAACTGCCGCCCAGAGGAAGCTGAGGCTCTGTGGCTTGCCCAACCCGCTCTCACTTCTGCCAACTTTGACGAAGCCTTGTCAATGGACAAAGCCAGCCTTATTGCTCTTGTTGCAGCGCTCCCTGCAGCGGCAATCCCTCCCCGGCCGGAACCACGCCCAGTGTCTTTCACATGTGGAAAAAATGACACCATCAAGTCCTCGAAGTCACTCAAAGCACTCGCCGACCGGTTCTACAAAAACTTTACCTCTTTTTTTCGCAAAGTCATGATTTGGCCTTCCAATCTGGGACCAGATGACTACTTCGGACGCGATTTAGCCTGGGACCTCGTCAAAAACATCGACTTATTCACACAGCCCAGCGACTTCGCGGCCGTACTTGCGAGTGAGTCCTTGGTTGGCCAATTCGATTGTTTGTTTTCAACTTTCCTGCAGTGGAAAGTTGATTATGATACCCACGCGGCGTTTACAGAAGCTATTGCCCGCCGAAAAGCCGCCATGCGAACAACTCATACAAAAACGGTGCAATCGGTCAAGGGTGCTCTACTTGGCAAAACGCGCCAAGATGCCAAGAAGAAAGCAAAGGTGGCTCAGCGCGAAAGTCAGAAACAGCAGGTCGCTATGAAAAAGGCTGCGTGTGAAGCTCTACGCTCACAGGTCGCAAAGGCCAATGTGGGATCATTGGCAGGTTCAAGTCAAGCGACTCTAAACGCAAAGACACAGGCTGGCCGCCCATCGATTGCCATGTTGGCTCAAAGTGCCCAACGCGGGCACCAGACTCAGTCATCTGCTCACAGCACTGCCCAAGCTCAAACGTGTCCCAATGTGGGTAAGCGAACGGCAGATGATCCACCTACTATGGTGGATCCGAAAAGACAGATGTCTCTGAATGTAAGCTTGGTTCATGTGTGCGTGTTGAAATGCGTATTCACTGATTGGTGTTCTTTGCACATATTCATTTCAACCGTGATCAGGCAATCAGTCAAAATCTTGACCATCATCTAGAACTTCCTCGTCTTCCCATGACCCCAGCACATTGGACGCCCCCCACCAAAATCGTGAACATCGACCCGCGGTTGAGTCAGCTTTGACTAACTTAATCATAGTACTGTGACCTAACCGCCAAATATTCACCACCTGATCCGGAGGGCGCGCGGCGCAACACTTACCCAGGTTCCCTTCGGCGTACCTCAGGAACGCCAGCATGGTTGGGGTGGTTATTGCGTGAAGGTTTGACTGGTAAACTATCTTGTGACCTGATTGCCATTTGATGACCTGCATCAGGCGTCTAAACTGTGCAACCCCGGGCCCACATTGTCAGATAACCCTTCAATTTGACCATACATGATTTTCATGAAATACAATGCAATTGAACAAGAACTTACCATTCAAATGTTGTTCGAGCAGCAACACGTGAGCCTCTTGATGACCGTACCATGCCCATAGAGCATTCAACATTATCACGAGTGCTCAGGTCATTAAGAATATGTGAGAGTTCCAAACACTTCCACGATGATAACTCACAGTGTTATCATATACATCTTTCAGCCAGCATATGTGTACCTCCTGGTATTCATCAATGGGCAGCCAGTGATCGTCCCGGTTGTGCGATGGAATCAGTACTGAATGTTTAATGGCGTGTGCCAGGGAGGGAGGCAGGTCTTCTTCAAAAAGCATGACAATGCGTGGAATATGCCTCGCGTAATGCGAAAGGCCTGGAAGTCCTTGGGCCATGATGGCCCAACGCTTCCACATATTCATCAGACGACCAATATCCCCGGCCCGCGTGGCCTCATGGGCCTCCATGACGGTTGCAAAGTCATGCAGGCGTAATAACAAGTTGTAGCGAGTGTTTTCTTTATTCAATTGAGCCTCATCGATTGCAGCGCTGTCAAAATATCGAGACCACACTGCGTCTAACAGTTCGTTGATGTCCGAGGATTTGGACATGTCCAGAGAGCTCATTGATTCATATACCTGTCTGTAAGTTTTTTCTTGTCAGTGTCCACACAAGAATCAAACTGGAACAACGACTTTGACACTGACT